CTGGTGGCTGGGAACCAGCCACTCGAGTTTCTGCCACATATATACGTTTGCAGTATCCCTATCTTAGTTAGCCAATGAATCCATTATCCAACACACCTCATTCTGCGTCAGTTCGACATCATTGAGAAGCAGTTTCCCGGTACCACGTACAAGGTCACGCTCAAGAAGTCAGAAGAGATCCGCCTGAACCAGTACTCGCGCCATGTGGCCTCAGGTATGAGCGCCGAAGATGCTGAGAATTGCGTTGCGCCTGCTCCAGGCAAGCATTTTGAGGCGCCCGTCGAAGTGCTCCGTGAGTTGGACCTGTCGCTTGGTCGTGGCAAGACCTATAAGGAAGTTCGCGACATCGTCGACGTCATCCTCCAGATGCTTGAGGGAAATGAGTGCGAGCAGGTTCCTGCTATCGAATTTCTTCCCGAGCTCCCCGGCAAGAGTGTGTCGCCTGCTACGGTCCCGACCAAGACTCCCGTTACGAAGTCAACTAGGTCTTCCAAGCGCATCTCCAACAAGGGTTCTGTCAAGAAGACGAGCTAGAAGGCTTAGGAGATGCCGTCCTTGCATCGTCTGGGTTCGTGGTCTCATAGGTTTGTGTATTCCTTTGTCCCTCTCATCCATTGTACGTGGTGTTTGCTGATGCATCTTCATTCTTTTCTTCGTATGCCAACAGTGCTGATCTCTTACCATCCGCAACAGAAGCAGCCACTCAGTTTTCCCCTTCTTTTCATTCTACTACCATACGCAGTCACCGCCCCATCCGCTTCGAGCAAATCACCAAGACTGTCTGTATGGGAAATTGTATTTGTATAAACTTTTCGGGTTCGATTTCCACAACATGTTATATTATATCCGGAGGGCAGATAAGAGTTGTAGTCCCTCTGGAAACCCTTGGTTAGGGTTATGCAATAGAACATTGCTGATGCTCCTTACACGCGTTTGGCGTGCACGGGTATGGGGCAGGATCACGGTGGTAAAGGCGGATGTGAGATTATTACCTGCGACATCATGAACATGTATTAGAAATTCGGAATTGTAAAGAATCTTGCCTCTTGTTTGCTGTGCGTGTCGTGATTGATCAGTAGTCTTTGCCTGGATTGACACTGCAATGTTCTGCCTTGTGCTCTGGCGTTACGAACTGTACTTACTCGATGACCCTGATTTCACAGTGATATCCAAGCTGTATATCGAATTGATTGCGGGGAACTCAGTTTGCGGTGAAGGTGAGGGAGTATAGGGCGCCAACTCGACGAAATTCATTCTCACCGCAAGGTCCCGCAAAGTGATACAATGGCTCTCTTAAACCTCATCTGTTCCATAACTTCTCACTCGCAATTAAGATAATACGATATTCTCTTACCTTGGTGACGTCCAGGTACATACCCCGGCCTTGGATATGGAGTACCCCAATCCACTAACATCTTTCAGACTCACCATGCGTGAGATCTTACCATATCAAGGCACTTTTAGCTTCATATCGAGCCGATTAGAAAGCAACATCAAGAGCTTCCTACCCCACTACGACAAGAAGGATCCAAGGACATGGCCTTATGTGACTTTGGCAACCATCGAGGAGGTTCGCCATTACTACGGCTACCCAGATCTTCCAGCCGGCATTGCTTACCAGCGGTCGGTCCTGCTGCGATACCACGCCATGTACTCGGCTGAAGATCGCAAGCACAGCGTATCTCTAAACGGCTCGTTTCATGAAAGATATCCTTGCAACTACGACCAATACGATCAACTGAAGGACTCGGCCGGCATGTCCAAAGCGGAGTATCAGAGATACATGGCAAACGTCGCCGAAGACATCGTATACATCACAGAAGACACATACGATGATGATTTACGCCTTCCAATGCACCAATCGGCTACTCCAGGAGGAAACAGGACTCTGAATAGCGAGTGCTGCGCAAACACCAGATGCATCGAAACCAGACGCGAAGCCACCAAGCTCCGCAAGGAACTCTCGCACAAGGAACACCAACTCATACAATCCCAGCAGAGTCTCGAAGAACTCGAAGCAATCCAAGAACGCAGACACAATGCACCAAGCGACACACAGGTCGAACTCGAGAAGCAGCGCCAACGCGCAGATGCCGCGGAGCGCGAATGCGAGATCCGTAAGGCAAACAATGTCAAGCAGTTATGGCGTGTACGAGAGCTAGAAAGACAAGTGGTTCAGAAAGATGAGCTGGAAGCGTATTGCAGTCAGTTGAAGGAGGAGATTGACGTGCTCAAGGGGAAGCGAAGGCGAGACGTTGTGGAGTCTGATCCTGACGAGGATTTGATGGAGGGATACATATCTAGTGCCAAAAAGACAAGGTCGTCTAGTGTAGATTGGTCGTAGGAAATGGAGGTTGGGATGCAGGAAATGCGGTGGATACAAGGAGTATTCGGGTACTAGTGAAGTCGAAGATGCCGCGGAGTTGCTGCAGATCGGGTTCGGCAGCGCTAGGCCTTTTTCATGACAGTTCTCTCCCCGCCCTTTTGCGTCATCCTCGCACGTTGTTATTTGTGGTTCGAATGCTGCGGGGCATCGTTCGAATGAGTAACAAGTCGGCTATTGGACTTGGCTGGGCACTTTGCTTATCAAAGCGCGCCCTGTAGCTGTATTTGGTCTGACATCGCCACTAAAGACTGGGTGGAGATATAAGATTGTACAGTCTGCAAAACATCAGCGTCAATTGAACTATAGGAACCACAGCGCTTTTGAGCGTCTGGAAGTTTTGGAATTGCAGCTTGCGAGTCGCAACGACACCGCGAGAATGGGGCCTTCACGTACTACCCAAGCTGCGGTCATATTGTCAGCATTCGTCCTGCCCATCCTCACTTATCTGTATTTCACCAAGAGCCAGCAGTCGAAGAAGAAAGCTGGGCCTCTACCCCCGCCGACAGAAATTACCTCGCTCTTCATACACCCAATCAAGTCATGTCATGGGGTATCAGTACAGTCGGCAAAGCTCTTGCCTACAGGTCTCGATCTCGGTATGCATTTTCCCAATGCAGTCACATTACCAGACTCGAGGATACTAACCGTGCCAGATCGTCAATGGATGTGGGTGAGCTATCCAGAATACGAATTCCTCACTATCCGCCAAAACTCCAAAATGACCTTGATCCGGCCTACCTACGATGAGTCGACTGATACTCTGACCGTCACCGCACCAGCACCAAACTCGATAGATGAGAAGCTTGAGTTTTCTATCCCAGCCCATCCGTCAAAGGAGTGGCTTGATGAGAGCACTGAAGACCATTCAGCAAAGATTTGGAGTACGACGACGGGAACTCGCGTCTACTCTCCCGAGCTGACTGCTCCCTTTAATGCCTTCTTCGACAGGGAAGTACGACTCGTATATAAGCCGCCCGTATCTGACGATCCTCGACCACTCGTCTCGAATGGAGCACCAGCTGTCCTGGGAAGAGACGCATCGACGTGTTTCCCAGATCTAATGCCTATTCTAGTCGGCAACAAGAGTAGTATCGATGAACTCAACACGCGTATCAAAGCAGCCGCAGACCATACTATTGATGTCCGCCGCTTCCGACCTAATATTGTTGTCAAAGGCGAAAGCAATGTACCGTGGGATGAAGATCGCTGGAAGACCATCAAGATTACACCAACGTCTGGCGAGAAACCCATCGTCCTGGACATTACCCAGCGGTGCGCACGCTGTCAGGTGCCGAATGTTGACCCCGACACAGCTGAGAAGCACAAAACGCAGCCATGGGATATCTTGATGAAGTACCGGAGGATTGACGAGGGCATCACGTATAAGCCCTGCTATGGCATGTTGGCTGTGCCAAGGACGGTGGGAGAAGTAAGGGTGGGAATGAAGTTTGAGGTGACGGAAGTAACTGCTGAGCATCGATACATTGCTGGTTTCTAGATTGTGTAGTAGTTGGAAAGTATCAAAGATTTTATTGCTACCAAGAACAACGGCATGGCTTGAGCAACAACCCACTTAAGAGGACACGTGCGAAGATGTGTCTCTAACTAGTCCAACTACTTACGTATCTCCTCCCATGACCAAACATTCCCAACATGGAATTCTACGCGACAAGCGCATCGCAGGGCGGGTAAAACGCAGGAGGCCCGTCGACCCGAGGCAGATTGATTGCCAAATCTCAATCTTTTCCCCAAAAAAAGAGAGCGGCTGCATGGGGTGGGCGGAGCGGAAGAATACACGGCTAAACACCCAACGTCACCAGAACCTCGTCACAACATCCAACACGGGACGAAACATGTGTAAACCCGCGCCATTGAGCAGAGGCAGGTGGATATTCTTATGAACCGTCTTGGATGCCCAAGTGAAGAGAGCTTGGCCTTGGGGGGATAGCCGTGCCGGCGGGTAAATTAGAGAGGGGAGCTTGTCCGGTGGGAGCATGAGGGGAGAGCGAGGGAACCGTGGGGCAACAAGAAATACCCCTCCATTCATAAGAACGGGGGCTTGTCGTAGTGAAATATATACAATCCCATTGAACCATTGATCTTCTTTTTCTTTCCTCTCTCCTCCATATCCATCCAATCATCCCATATACGACATATACCATATACACCCGTAGAGTAAAAGAGAGAAAAAAAAAAGAGAAAGAGAAAGGAATAAACATGGCGGACAAAGACCCCATCGTCACCCACATCTTCACCGCAGACCCCTCCGCCCACGTCTTCAACAACAAACTCTACATCTACCCCTCGCACGACCGCGAGTCCAACATCCCCAACAACGACAATGGCGACCAATACGACATGAACGACTACCACGTCCTAAGCATGGATTCCGTCGGCGGCCCCGTAACCGACCACGGCGTCGCTCTCCGCCAGGAAGACATACCCTGGGTCAGCAAGCAACTCTGGGCTCCCGACGCCGCCACCAAAAACGGGAAATACTATCTCTTCTTCCCGGCCCGCGACAAGGAAGGCATTTTCCGCGTGGGCGTCGCAGAGGGCGACACACCCGAAGGTCCTTTTAGGCCTGAACCCGAACCCATCAAGGGCAGCTTCAGCATCGACCCTGCCGTCTTCGTCGACGACGACGGCGCTGCGTACCTCTACTTTGGCGGCATCTGGGGCGGCCAGCTGCAGTGCTGGCAGACGGGCAAGTTCGAGCGCAGCGCCTACGAGACCATGGAAGCGCAATCCGGTCCTGCGCTCTGCGCCAAAGTCGGGAAGCTAACAGACGACATGAAGAGTTTCGCCTCCGACGTGACCGATGTGGTCATCTTGGATGAGGACGGCAAGCAGATCCAGGCGCAGGATCACGATAGGCGGTTCTTCGAGGCCGCGTGGTTGCACAAGTATAACGGCAAGTATTACTTTTCTTACTCGACCGGTGATACGCATTTCCTTTGCTATGCGGTTGGAGATAACCCGCTGGGCCCGTTTACGTATGGTGGAAGGATTCTTGAACCCGTGATTGGGTGGACGACGCATCATAGTATTGCCGAGTTCAAGGGGAAATGGTATTTGTTCTACCACGACTCGAGTCTCAGCAAGGGCGTGAATCACCTGCGGTGCGTCAAGATTCGCGAGATTGTGTATGACGAGGCGGGCAAGATTAAGTTGGCTGAGAGCCAGCCAAAGGTTGAGAGTTAGTAGTAGCTAGACATTCCTTACTCTTTCCAAATGAAAGATTATCTTTGTTCTTTCCATGTACCGGGGGGTATCCATATATATATATATATATTCAACCCCTAAAACGCCGAAAAAAAATGCTTTCAATCATCCAGGCATGC